TCCCTTCCACAAATTGAAAGCGGAATGCCGCGAAAAGCCACCAGAGGAGATTCTGCTGATGGCCAGAGTGATGATGATGATGATGACGATGACCGGGCAGGCCAAGCGACAATAAAAACAAAAACAGAAACACACACAAAAAAACACAAAAACGTTGACGACTTTTGGCAACAATGAAACAATGAAAAGGGCCAAAACGGTGCTGCTGCGGTGCTGCGGTGCTGCGGTGGCACTGGGCGACAGGCAGACAGCGTGGCTTCAAGGGATGTGGCATGAAGTGAAGTGAAGTGAAGTGAAGGAGGATAGGAAGGAAGATCGAAAGACAGCAGAAACAGATTGAAATCAGTTTGAAAACAAGCGAAGCGGAAAAATGCATGACCCGCTCAGCGTGGGGCAAGGAGTAGGAGGACAAGGGGCAACAGGAAGAGAGGCAAGAAGGCATTGGGCACTGGGCACTGGGGCATGGGGCAGGAAATGGAAATGGGACAACAGTTGGCCATGGTTAAGTGCTGGAAATTATGTTATGTCCTCCTCGAGCTCCTCGAGCTCCTCCTCCTCCTCCTCAGGCTGCTTTGTCCTCCTGCCATCTTGCCCTCTTGTCTATTGTTTTATGTCTCCATTCCCGAGGATTATTGGCCATGCATGAGAGCACACACACACACACACACACACACACTCACTCCATATGTCTGCTGCTCTCTGTCTCTGGCTCTGGCTCACTCCATCCTTCACGCTGTCCGATTAACTCAATGAATAAGCCATCGCTCCGATTGCTGCTGCAACTTGTGTCAGCTAAACTCTCGTCTAATTTGCTGCCAAGGTTGGAGTATGAGTGCCGGCATTGCATTTTTGAGCCACAAATTCCCAGAAATTGAAATCGGAGAACAGCGCTCGACGTGCCGCCTGCCTGCCCCTTACAGCACTGGCCTACTGGGCGGGGGTATTGCGGTGGATAACCGGTTGGCAATCATATTTCCATCTACTGTTTGAATGCGAAACGATTTCCAAAGTGCAGCACACAGAAAACTCTCCCACTACCTCCCTCCCTCCCTCCCTCGCTTTCACTGTGCTGAAACCCAAAACGACAAACAAACAGAAACAACAATGAGAAAATAACTGAAAGAAAAAGTATAATTTCCATTTCAAATTGAATTTTCATTTGCACAAAAGCATAAACGAGGAGCCAACAGCATCAGCATCAGCATCCGCAGATGACGATGAGATTCTAAACTCTGGACTCTGTAGACTGTAGCCTTGTAGCCTTGTAGCCTGTGGCAGTGTCTCAGCGAGTGGATATATCTGTAGGATATATCTGTATGTATAAGCAGATGGGGATGTGCATGGGATAAGCTTTCGTGGGGTGGGGGCAAAAGCGAAAATCAATGTCCTAACGCGGGGCAGTTTAATGTTTTTGGGATTACAGGCCTGCGGAGAGGCTTGGCTTGGCTTGGCTTCTCCTTCCTCTCGTATTTTGGGGTGGGGCGGGGGTTAGAGGCTGGGAGCATTCATGCATGCTCCGACGTGCAGCAACTTAATTTGGCATTAACACACACACACGCAGACACAGCCACAGACAGACAGGGGGCCAATGTTGTTCTTACGGTCATTGCAGCCGCCCCCTAAAATGCTGGAGATCCATCCGGAAGCTGCACACAAAAGCAACAACACGGCAAGTGTCCTGCAACATCCACAAGCACACACACACACACAGCCCCCACCCGCACACATACCCCCGAAAGCAACCATGTTTGCTAGCTACGTGCCACATTACGTAGCCGACGAGTGGGCCAGAGACAGACACCGGACTGAAGGCGAAGGCGGAGGGAGCGGAGGGAGCGGAGCACAGGTAAGCAACACTAAAAGAAGCAACTATTTTTTGGGTATATTTATGTATAGTTTCTGGGCACAGCAAACAACAAAAACAAAAACAAAACAGGAACAGGAACAGGAACAAAGAGCTGCCATAAGTTCTGCAACGAAACCGAAACACTCTGGGACTACTCTAGGCACAAGACCATAGCGAGAGCTGCTATGAAATACTTGAAATATATTTAAAGTGCATGGATAGAACGCATTTGAGAGGGCTCTCAGATAATCCCTACGGGAGCGGCCGTCAGGAAGGACACTCCAGAAGGGAACAACTATTAAAGTTCTTCCGCTGATCACTCCACTTAATCAGAAACGGTGTCCTATACCCGCGAAACGCACTGTAAGAGCATTCAGCAAGCGCTTCCCCCCTTTGATTTTTGTTCCATTTTCACTCTGGAATTTTGTTTATTTCCGACACGAACCGACAGCGGCAGCAGCAGCAGCAGCAGCAGCAGCTGAATGGGGGATGCCATGCCGAAAATCATATTTCTGAAATTGTTCTTTCAATTTCGCGTTTGCCATTTGATAGTGGCAGGGGGGTGGGTGGAAGGGCGTATTTTTATTCCAAAAGAGAGCTATCGATGGCCAAGGGGGTGGATGTAAATGTTTCCCGTGAAGAGGATTACTTAATGCATTTTCGGTGAGTGGAAATTCATTTATTAAGCCTTGAGTGGAGCTTCTCCACTGACTCTGGCTCTGGTTCTGGCTCTGGTTCTGGCTCTGGTTCTGGCCCGTTTTCGTTCTCTGGCCTCTCTCTCTCTCGTACTCTTTTGATTTCCCACACGTGCCGCGAGGGGTTGCAAGTTGCAAGCTGCAAGCTGCACCTGGAACTGTCCCAGCGCTCACGGCTGATTTATCGTCCATGAAATTTATGTTTAGTTTAATCGAATGGGGCAAACAAAAATTGTGCAGAGCGAGGCGGCCTGCTTATCGCTGGCCAGGCGAGGCGAGGCCAGACCAGGCCAGTTGCAGCCTCTCCTGCTGGGCCACCCCACCCCACCCGTCCCTCCTTAAGGTGCAAAGTTTACTTAAGCGAAGGAGGCGCTGCAAAATTAAGCAGCAGCAGCAGGAACCGGCAGAAGCCACTCAACTCAATGGGTGGGTGGATGGTCGATGGGTCGGTGGGGCTGCTGCCCCTCATTGCTCCTCAACGCTCCTGTTGCCTGTTTTATTTCTTGATGCCAGCACCGCTCTGGCGCCTCTGCCCCACCGTTTACTGCTGCAACTGCTAGACGCAACTATTGCAAAATTTCAACGTGAATTTATTGCAAGAACATTTCTTCGTTCTCTCCCCTCTCTCGCTCTCTCTCTCTCTGTCTCTCTCTGTCTCTGTGTAGGTGTGTGTACATCCCCCCTTTGCATCCCCTTTCTCATCTTCATCTTCATGATATTTTCGTTTTTCTGCCATTTCTCGTGCCTTTTTTCGACCTGTTCTCGCTGTTTCTCTCTACTCCGCTCCTAAAGTTCTCCCCTAAAAATTTTTCTTGCGGCCGCTGGCTCTGGCTCTATATATTTGCACAAATATACATACATATATATGCACATATATATGTAGGTGTATTTGGTATATATATTTTCCGTCTAAGGCTGTCTTTAAAGTCGTGGCCAGGAGAGCGCGCACAGACGTTGCATAGTTTGCGGCGCTGTGGCAAGTGCCTCCACCAAATGGCGCTGGGAGTAAATGTTTCGAAGTTGCAACATTCGTGAGTGTGTGGATCTTAAATTAATTATCGAATAACACTTCTTAAATTCTGATTTAAATTTAAATTTCAATAAATGTTGAATTTATTTTTTATCTAAACTTTCAGCTTTGGTTTTTTTTTCCGTTTTATTTCATTCAATTTTGATCAAATTTAAATTGGAATCTGTGGCAATTCAAAAACTTTTGTCTATTTGCATCTATCGATTTGCATTTCATTGGCTTCGGCTCAGGGCTCAGGGCTGAGGGCTCAGGGCTGAGGCTCATTACCAATGCACTTCCCTGGCCTCTGTCTCTGCCTCTGCTTCTGCCTCTGCCTCTGCGTCGGCCTGCCATCTCATCCTTGGCTTATTCCGGGGGTAAAGTTGGACCTAAGTAGCTCCCGATTAATGTGCAAACTTTTTGGTCACTTGCATCCGTTTCTGGTAATTTGAGGCTTCTCTTCTTGGTGCTGCTGCTGCTGCTGCTGCTCCTTGCCCTTGCCCTTCCCCCTTCGCCTTCTCTCTCTCAGCTGCAATTTATTTATTTATTCTGTTGCTCATTATCTGCCAGCGGAGCTGCGCGCCGTCCAGGGTTGCCAGTGTGACCATTTCGTAATTAATGCTAAATTTATGGTGACAGATCTGTGGCATTGATAAGACGTCCAGCAGAACTAACCCAGAAAGCAGCAGGGGCACCTTATCGGGGAGACGTGCCTCGATGTTGCACTGTCGTTGGGCCTGTCGTCGTTGTTGCAGCTGATGTTGTTCCGCTTGTTGTTTGCTCAACTTGCTGTTGTCGCTGTCGTTGTCGTTGCTCCTGTTCCTGTTCCTGTTCCGTGTTGGTATTGGTGTTGCAAAGTTATGCAAGCTCTCGTGTCGGGTTGATGTGCAGGAAATTTGCATATCGCATATCGTTGACACGGCTGACACTGACCCCAAAGTGCAGGTGGCACGGTAACACGGTGGCACGGTGGCACGGTGGCACGGTGGCACGGTGGCACGGTGGCACGGGTTGCTGGTGCATCAGGGGGGGGGCGGCCTGCAAGCTGGGGGGAATTATTCAATTTTTGACTAGATCAAAGCCTGCGATGACAGCCAGTTTCGTGACTCAGGCTTAGTGATGGAACAAAATTGTAATATTTTATTCGATAACAAATCGATACAAATATCGATTATTTTTAATTGCTAAATATTTAAAAAGTTAAGTAAAATATTTGTGCATGCAAAATATATTGAAGAATATTAGTGGAAATTGTTATCGATAAATTATCGATGAATTATAGCAATCGGTGCAATCGGTTTTGCAATTTGAAGCAAAACTATTAATGAGCCATTCGCTCTCATACATATATCCCCCCCCTCCCACGGTTCACGTGTCGTGTCACGCAGCTGCCTGCCGCGCTTGCCGCTTGCCGGTTGCAGCAGGCGGCAGGCGGCAACTTCAGACTCACCTTGCATTCGGGCCAGGAGCAGGAGGAGCGTGCAGCAGAGTACCTGAAGCAGCTCCATATTTCATCAGCTGTGAGTTATGCGACAACAACGACAGCGCCAACGGGACTCCGGCAAAAGTTGCACAGTAACTTACTGCCACTGTCAGTGGCACTGCCACTGCAATTGCAACTGGAGCTCAGACTCGAACTCGAACTCGGACTGGAAGTGGGCGTGGATGAGGCTTCTCTCCTACTGCTGCTGCTGCTGTTGCTGCTGCTGCCACAGCCGGTGACTCCTGTTCGCCTGTTTAACGTCAGTTTTTCCACTGTGCCTGCGATGCCTTCGGCCGTTGCTGTTGCCGTGGCTGTTGCCGTTGCCGTGGCCGCTGCCGGGGAACAATGCGAGCGTTGAAACTTAAAAGGCAAACGGCATTCTGCGTAATTGCACTGCCAAGTACTGCAAAGAAAGCCAAACAGAGAGAGAGAGAGAGAGAGAAGGGTGAGAGAGAGAGCAAGCAGTGGAACATGAGTGAGAGCTGGATAAAGCGCACAGTGATAGAGGGACGCTGACGTTGGGGAGGGGGACGGGGGAGGGGGAGACTTAAATTAATTAGAACAACAAAGCAAGTCAAGTGCTCCTCTGGCATGCGGACGGACCACACTGACACCCTGTGCAGGCTGCCCTGCGAATGGTACGGGAGAGATCTGCTCCCAAAGGGTCCGACTCTTTTAGCTGCAGAATAAATATCCCATAACAGAGTTCCATCTATCTATTCCACATGTGGCGCAGGGTGTACCCCACTCCGGCTACAGGGTATCCCCCCCCCACTACCACTCCCACTCGCATTTGTATTAGCAGTGCAGGAGCCGGAGCAGAGCCCTTTGGGCTGCTACCGTCTGGGGGGCATTACGTCAGAGATGGAATGCACTCGACGCTGCAAATGTTATTAACAAACACAATGCCATAAATACGGCGGGAACAAACACACACAAACACACGCAAACACACGCACACACACACAGACACTCAGGATGGGTGAGTACTGGAAGGAGTAGTGGCAGCCCCGGACAAGGACACGGCACAACAATGGCAGGCGATGGCCACGGCTGAGTGACCTTTTTGGTCGTCAAGTAATCGCATTCGCAACGGTAGCCCGTCAGCCGTCCCCTGTTCCCCGTCCCCCTACCCCATGGCCAACTTCGCATTTTTATGGCAACAAACGTCAGCCATAAACATTTTTATAACGCTGCAAGGTGGGGGGGGGCAATGGGGACTGGGGAGAAGTGCCTGCAGCAGACTGGAGCAGGGGCAGGGGCAGTGGCAGTGGCAGCAAAGAAAACGCATAAGCCACAAGCAAAATGAATTGTGTTTTCACTTTTTGTAATTAGCCTGCTCTAAAGTGCCCAGGCCAATGGGCCTGGCTGGAGTGGCGCTGCTCCTGCAGCAGGAAGAGGAGTGCGGCGAGTCCTGTCCAAGGCTGCTCTGGCCTCTGGCCTCTGGCCTCTGGCCCCTGACTGCTGATGTGTGTGTGTGTGTGTGTGTGTAAAGTAAATCATGATAAATACACTCAGAAGGTGGAACAGAGAACGCAACCGAATCGAATCGAATCAAATGGATGGGGGAATGGGCGGCATGCATCGCTGTACCACTAGAAACTTAATCAAGTCAAACTTTACACAACTCAGAGTGCAGGTTCGACTTTAAAGACTGCACAACTGCAGTTCGCATTCAGTTAGCAGAACATTCTTCACGTGCCACAAATGCCTCACTCGATCTCAGCTCGCAAAGATCAATGGAAATCAATGGAAATGAAAGGTACATTCCTTTGGGGTTTCCCTTGCTTCCGCCTTCTGGGCTGCTGCTGCCTATGAACTTGAAAACGCTGTCTGGCAAAACAGAAAGCAATCAATGAAAATATTTATTCAAATACCCGCACCGCACCGCACCGCTCCGCTCCGCACCCCTCCGCACCGCTCCACCAGCAACAACAATAACCAGGCAGGACAAAAGGCTCGGCAACAAGTCTTCAGCGTCGTCATCGTCATCATGGGTCTGGGGGAGTGGGGGGAGTGGGTGGGGGTGGTTGGTTATTTCGGCAGAAAATTTCCTTTTGTCCGAATTTTTGGATATTTGTCCACTTTAAGTTATTTGTATTCAAAATATTCATTTGGTGCGGCCGCCACGTCCCACGTAGCGACAATTTGTAAACTAGGCCTGAATAAAACATGAAACACTGAAGGAGAAACACTACATGTGTACAGGGGGGGGGGGGGCGGGTGGTGCTGGCACAGGGCTGTGCTCTGACTCTGGAGTTCCATGTCCTGGGTCCTGTGTCCTGTGTCCGGACAAAACTGCACGGTTACATAAACAGGATAATAAGGCACTTAACATGCACTCGTCGCTGTTGTCCAACACACTCACGGGTCGTGGCTACAGCGCTGGGATGGGGCCACATATGAATGGAATGAGCCAGAATAAGTAGGCAGCAGGCCGTATATGATACGGCTACTACGGCACCCAGTGATCCAGTGAGAGAAAATTCTGCTGCTGCTATGGCAAAGGAGACCAACGAGAAGTGTGTACACTGCGAGTAGAGTGCTTCACTCAATTGATTCATCGCTAAGCAATTTAAATGTATAACATCTGCCAGCTTTAGTTCTGATGCTCCCCCACTGCCTGCTTATTCCATATACCCTTTTTACGCTACGACTACGGGGTATAAAAACCTCCAGCCACAGCAGCAGCAGCAGCAGCAGGAGCGGCAGCGGCAGCAGCAGCAGCAGCCGAGCCAAATGGCAAATGGCGAATGTTGAATGCCAGAAATGCCTCGAAATGGCTTCGTTGTAGGCGTAACAATAAGGCGACCAGCAGCAGCGGCAGAAGGGAGCAGGCCAGCAGGCGGCAGGCGGCAGGAGTCAGGAGTCGCCGCCACTTATGTCAGAGCAAATCAAGCGTTTCACTCGCCAGTCCCAGTCCCAGCACCAGCTCCAACCCCCCACACACACACACACACACACACACCACCCAATGCCTCCGCCCTTTGCCACGCTTTAGACATTTTGCCTTAATTTACGTTTTATGTCATGTCATGAGCGTAATTGAAAATTTCCCATGCCTCCATGCCACATGCCACAAACATCCATTGAGCGGTGGTGGAGGGGAGGCAAGCGGCGGTTGCCCCTCCAGTTAATACCCGATCGAACCTAATGAAGCCATCGTCTTGGGCCTGAAATAAGGAATTTCAGGCACTTGATATGGAAATAAAGATGTAAATAAGATGATCCTCCTGCCCTCCGCCTCCTGCCCAGCCACGCCTTGAGCGCCATTTGAATTATGCAGCTCAGATCGAAATGCTGCTTTAAGTGTCCGGCAGAAACTGCTGCTAAATTATTTATGAATACTGAATGCAGCAAAAACTGTGCCTAAACTTTCAATTTGAAATGCATTTTGCTGTGGCAGCCACAGAGCAGACAGAGCAGACGTAGCCAGGAGGCAGACCGAAATAAAACCCAGGCATAGACGTATTAAAATTTAAAATGGAAACAAAATGCAAACAAAATGGAAACAAAATGGAAACAAAATAAAACGAAATAAAATAAAATGTGTGGCGAATGTGTAAACTGTGTGACAAATGCCTGAAGTACGCAACTGGCCAGATAAGGCTGCACACGAATTGAATAATCTCCAGCCGCATTGTTGTCGAATGCTTTTGCCCAATGTTTAAAAGTTAATTGCCAGAGACAGCAGCAGCCAGGGGACAGCGGAGACGCAGGTCGGGCTCTGGCCAAAGGAGTGTCCAAAGGAGTTTTAAATGAATCTCCATCTATCATCAGGGCAGATCAAATGGAATTACAGGAAGCAGCAGCTAAACCCTGTGCAAGCGAGGCTTACGTATCCCCAGGTGAGAGATTTGAGTGGGGGGATAGCCCAAAATCATCATTAAAACTTGATTGGCTTTATGGGGATGATATGGGAATCTGCAGGCTCAATTTCCTGGCGACGATCGACCGCTCCTGGGGCCTGGGGCCACGGATGATCTTCCACCACACAAATCATTCGCAGGCCATTGGATTCTTAATTTGCTTTAAATAAATTTTATTGGCATTGCAATGCAACTGTGCAGCTGTGCAGCTTCCTTCAATCCCCCCCCCGCCATGCCACATCTGCAACTCTGCCACATCCTCTTTGGCAATCCCAAGCCCCCCCGCTCTCTGCACAACTAAATGACATTTATTGTCAGTCGAGAGGGAGAGGCCTGGGCACGGCCCTGGTTGAGGGGCAACGTTAACCGAAAATGTCTTTTCATATTTTTCATGCACAATTTCCACCGAAGCGACCGACAGCCCACACACACGCACACACGCACACATTCGTAGCCGTATTCATACGCTTTGCATGATGTATTTTGTATATGTATATGCTTTACTTTTACGTATTTATTTATTGACCAGATCCAGAATTCAGGTCCAGATCCCAGAACCCCCCACAGTAAGAGCTGCAGCCAGAGCCAGAGTCAGAGCTGGAGCTGGAGCCACTTCCACGTCCAGAGCCATTTCAGAATTTCATTTGCGGCCCAAAGAATATTGCAATGGCTGACAAATTTATTTCGTTTGCCGCTGGCGGTTTTTCTTTTCGCTTTCCCACCCCCACCCCAGCTTTCCCCGCTTTCCCCTTTGTTCTTTTCATTTTTGCAATGTGTCGGGCCCTGCCATGCATATTAAAATGTTCAAAAAACACAGAGAGTAAACCCAACCCCGCCCCCTTGCACCCACCAGATGCGTCGTCGGCCATTTACTGTTGCATATTCATTATTGAAAAGTTTTACTAGCGACACTGCCCCCCCGCACTGACTGTCCTACGGGGGGCAGGGGTGGGGGGGCCCTGCTACTCATCAAAAAAATGATAAGCAAATGTTTTTAAATCTACATAAATATCCCTAAGGGATCCCTCTCAATGGGCATTTCAATTGATTTATTATCCGTTTCTGTTCTCTCTGTTTGTTTGCACTTCACACCATTAAAATTGAATTCCAGCTGACTATTTGAGGCAGCTCCGGATCACAATGGACTGCAAGGATCCCCCAGGCTAAGTGCTAGATCGTGGCACATGCCAGCAGCACCTGCAGAAGTGGTGTGAAACGGTATCTAAATAAATTAATAAATGGCTAAACCTGATGCTGGTATTACCCATTCAGAATATCCCTTAGATTTGCATCAATTTCGTTTGCCTATCGAGCTTCTACTCTGCCCCCCTCAGCCTCTTTGTAGTTGCCCTTCCATCAGCTTGGAGCTGTCTTCCACATTCTTCAGCTGCCATGGCTGTGCCCCCGCCTGCCCCACAGATGACGAACGCAATCATAATA